AGGTGCAGGTGTGTGTGTGCAGGCTCAGGTGCAGGTGTGTGTGTGCAGGCTCAGGTGCAGGTGTGTGTGTGCAGGCTCAGGTGCAGGTTGTGTGTGTGCAGGCTCAGGTGCAGGTGTGTGTGTGCTGGCTCAGGTGCAGGTGTGTGTGTGCAGGCTCAGGTGCAGGTGTGTGTGCTTGCAGGCTCAGGTGCAGGTGTGTGTGTGCAGGCTCAGGTGCAGGTGTGTGTGTGCTGGCTCAGGTGCAGGTGTGTGTGTGCAGGCTCAGGTGCAGGTGTGTGTGTGCAGGCTCAGGTGCAGGTGTGTGTGTGCAGGCTCAGGTGCAGTGTGTGTGTGCAGGCCTCAGGTGCAGGTGTGTGTGTGCATGCTCAGGTGCAGGTGTGTGTGTGCAGGCTCAGGTGCAGGTGTGTGTGTGCAGGCTCAGGTGCAGGTGTGTGTGTGCTGGCTCAGGTGCAGGTGTGTGTGTGCAGGCTCAGGTGCAGGTGTGTGTGTGCAGGCTCAGGTGCAGGTGTGTGTGTGCAGGCTCAGGTGCAGGTGTGTGTGTGCAGGCTCAGGTGCAGGTGTGTGTGTGTGCAGGCTCAGGTGCAGGTGTGTGTGTGCAGGCTCAGGTGCAGGTGTGTGTGCAGGCTCAGGTGCAGGTGTGTGTGTGCTGGCTCAGGTGCAGGTGTGTGTGTGCTGGCTCAGGTGCAGGTGTGTGTGTGCAGGCTCAGGTGCAGGTGTGTGTGTGCAGGCTCAGGTGCAGGTGTGTGTGTGCAGGCTCAGGTGCAGGTGTGTGTGTGCAGGCTCAGGTGCAGGTGTGTGTGTGCAGGCTCAGGTGCAGGTGTGGTGTGTGCAGGCTCAGGTGCAGGTGTGTGTGTGCAGGCTCAGGTGCAGGTGTGTGTGTGCTGGCTCAGGTGCAGGTGTGTGTGTGCAGGCTCAGGTGCAGGTGTGTTGTGTGCAGGCTCAGGTGCAGGTGTGTGTGTGCAGGCTCAGGTGCAGGTGTGTGTGTGCAGGCTCAGGTGCAGTGTGTGTGTGCAGGCTCAGGTGCAGGTGTGGTGTGTGCAGGCTCAGGTGCAGGTGTGTGTGTGCTGGCTCAGGTGCAGGTGTGTGTGTGCAGGCTCAGGGTTGCCAGGTGTGTGTGTGCAGGCTCAGGTGCAGGTGTGTGTGTGCAGGCTCAGTGCAGGTGTGTGTGTGCAGGCCTCAGGTGCAGGTGTGTGTGTGCAGGCTCAGGCAGGTGTGTGCAGGCTGAGGTGTGTGTGTGCAGGCTCAGGTGCAGGTGTGTGTGTGCAGGCTCAGGTGCAGGTGTGTGTGTGCAGGCTCAGGTGCAGGTGTGTGTGTGCAGGCTCAGGTGCAGGTGTGTGTGTGCAGGCTCAGGTGCAGGTGTGTGTGTGCAGGCTCAGGTGCAGGTGTGTGTGTGCTGGCTCAGGTGCAGGTGTGTGTGTGCAGGCTCAGGTGCAGGTGTGTGTGTGCAGGCTCAGGTGCAGGTGTGTGTGTGCAGGCTCAGGTGCAGGTGTGTGTGTGGCAGGCTCAGTGTCGCAGGTGTGTGTGTGCTGGCTCAGGTGCAGCGTGTGTGTGTGCAGGCTCAGGTGCAGGTGTGTGTGTGCAGGCCTCAGGTGCAGGTGTGTGTGTGCAGGCTCAGGTGCAGGTGTGTGCTGTGCAGGGCCTCAGGTGCAGGTGTGTGCTGTGCTGGCTCAGGTGCAGGTGTGTGTGTGCAGGCTCAGGTGCAGGTGTGTGTGTGCAGGCTCAGGTGCAGGTGTGTGTGTGCAGGCTCAGGTGCAGGGCAGGTGTGTGTGTGCTGGCTCAGGTGCAGGTGTGTGTGTGCAGGCTCAGGTGCAGGTGTGTGTGTGCAGGCTCAGGTGCAGGTGTGTGTGTGCTGGCTCAGGTGCAGGTGTGTGTGTGCTGGCTCAGGTGCAGGTGTGTGTGTGCAGGCTCAGGTGCAGGTGTGTGTGTGTGCAGGCTCAGGTGCAGGTGTGTGTGTGCAGGCTCAGGTGCAGGTGTGTGTGTGCTGGCTCAGGTGCAGGTGTGTGTGTGCTGGCTCAGGTGCAGGTGTGTGTGTGCAGGCTCAGGTGCAGGTGTGTGTGTGCTGGCTCAGGTGCAGGTGTGTGTGTGCTGGCTCAGGTGCAGGTGTGTGTGTGCAGGCTCAGGTGCAGGTGTGTGTGTGCAGGCTCAGGTGCAGGTGTGTGTGTGCTGGCTCAGGTGCAGGTGTGTGTGTGCAGGCTCAGGTGCAGGTGTGTGTGTGCTGGCTCAGGTGCAGGTGTGTGTGTGCTGGCTCAGGTGCAGGTGTGTGTGTGCAGGCTCAGGTGCAGGTGTGTGTGTGCAGGCTCAGGTGCAGGTGTGTGTGTGCTGGCTCAGGTGCAGGTGTGTGTGTGCTGGCTCAGGTGCAGGTGTGTGTGTGCAGGCTCAGGTGCAGGTGTGTGTGTGCTGGCTCAGGTGCAGGTGTGTGTGTGCAGGCTCAGGTGCAGGTGTGTGTGTGCAGGCTCAGGTGCAGGTGTGTGTGTGCTGGCTCAGGTGCAGGTGTGTGTGTGCTGGCTCAGGTGCAGGTGTGTGTGTGCAGGCTCAGGTGCAGGTGTGTGTGTGCAGGCTCAGATGCAGGTGTGTGTGTGCAGGCTCAGGTGCAGGTGTGTGTGTGCAGGCTCAGGTGCAGGTGTGTGTGTGCTGGCTCAGGTGCAGGTGTGTGTGTGCAGGCTCAGGTGCAGGTGTGTGTGTGCAGGCTCAGGTGCAGGTGTGTGTGTGCAGGCTCAGGTGCAGGTGTGTGTGTGCAGGCTCAGGTGCAGGTGTGTGTGTGCTGGCTCAGGTGCAGGTGTGTGTGTGCTGGCTCAGGTGCAGGTGTGTGTGTGCAGGCTCAGGTGCAGGTGTGTGTGTGCAGGCTCAGGTGCAGGTGTGTGTGTGCAGGCTCAGGTGCAGGTGTGTGTGTGCAGGCTCAGGTGCAGGTGTGTGTGTGCTGGCTCAGGTGCAGGTGTGTGTGTGCTGGCTCAGGTGCAGGTGTGTGTGTGCAGGCTCAGGTGCAGGTGTGTGTGTGCTGGCTCAGGTGCAGGTGTGTGTGTGCAGGCTCAGGTGCAGGTGTGTGTGTGCTGGCTCAGGTGCAGGTGTGTGTGTGCTGGCTCAGGTGCAGGTGTGTGTGTGCTGGCTCAGGTGCAGGTGTGTGTGTGCAGGCTCAGGTGCAGGTGTGTGTGTGTGTGTGCAGGCTCAGGTGCAGGTGTGTGTGTGCTGGCTCAGGTGCAGGTGTGTGTGTGCTGGCTCAGGTGCAGGTGTGTGTGTGCAGGCTCAGGTGCAGGTGTGTGTGTGCAGGCTCAGGTGCAGGTGTGTGTGTGCTGGCTCAGGTGCAGGTGTGTGTGTGCAGGCTCAGGTGCAGGTGTGTGTGTGCTGGCTCAGGTGCAGGTGTGTGTGTGCTGGCTCAGGTGCAGGTGTGTGTGTGCAGGCTCAGGTGCAGGTGTGTGTGTGCAGGCTCAGGTGCAGGTGTGTGTGTGCAGGCTCAGGTGCAGGTGTGTGTGTGCAGGCTCAGGTGCAGGTGTGTGTGTGCTGGCTCAGGTGCAGGTGTGTGTGTGCTGGCTCAGGTGCAGGTGTGTGTGTGCTGGCTCAGGTGCAGGTGTGTGTGTGCAGGCTCAGGTGCAGGTGTGTGTGTGCAGGCTCAGGTGCAGGTGTGTGTGTGCTGGCTCAGGTGCAGGTGTGTGTGTGCAGGCTCAGGTGCAGGTGTGTGTGTGCTGGCTCAGGTGCAGGTGTGTGTGTGCAGGCTCAGGTGCAGGTGTGTGTGTGCAGGCTCAGGTGCAGGTGTGTGTGTGCAGGCTCAGGTGCAGGTGTGTGTGTGCAGGCTCAGGTGCAGGTGTGTGTGTGCAGGCTCAGGTGCAGGTGTGTGTGTGCTCATCGGGTTCGTCACATACCCCTTTTCCACCAAGGCAGAGCTGGTGCTGGTTCGGAGCCAGAGTTTCAATTCGGTTCTTTGTTTTTCCACACGCTAAGCACCAGCTCCGAACCAGGAAAAGTGGTTCTTAAGTAGCACCAAATCATTGCTGGTCTAGAACAGAGCCAAGTAAGAACCGCTTGCGTCAGGGGCTGGGGCGGGGTTACCGTGACCAACAAGACGAATAGAAACTTGTGACCGCCATTTTTAAATAGCAGCTAGTCGAGCTAATAGCAGCTAGTCGAGCTAATAGCAGTAGTCGAGCTAATAGCAGCTAGTCGAGCTAATAGCAGCTAGTCGAGCTAATAGCAGCTAGTCGAGCTAATAGCAGCTAGTCGAGCTAATAGCAGCTAGTCGAGCTAATAGCAGCTAGTCGAGCTAATAGCAGCTAGTCGAGCTAATAGCAGCTAGTCGAGCTAATAGCAGCTAGTCGAGCTAATAGCAGCTAGTCGAGCTAATAGCAGCTAGTCGAGCTAATAGCAGCTAGTCGAGCTAATAGCAGCTAGTCGAGCTAATAGCAGCTAGTCGAGCTAATAGCAGCTAGTCGAGCTAATATAGCAGCTTGATTATAATATCCGTCTATAAGTTACGGCGAGCTGCACAAACGCGTTGGATTCCGATGTATTTTTGCAAACCCATGAGCCTCCATAGTAACGCAACGTCCGTTATTGTTGATGGCTTGTTCGAGATGCATCGGCGCGGCGCGGACCGATCAGAGCTGCGGGAGTGTGTGGAGATCATACGACTCCTTGTGCTTTTGGGTCGCTTTCGCAGTGCTCTGATGTCATGCGGCGATCGATCTGCCAGAAGCCGATGCATCTCGAACAAGCCTGGCGTGTTTGTGTTTGGCGCTACCGCACTAGCGTTGCTGGGCAACATGAGACGTATGCAGTGACGTAAGATCTGGCTCTGCTGTGGCTCTCTAGCCGGTGGAAAGGCAAACCGGTTCTTAGTAAGCTTGCCAGTCGAACCAACTCCGGACCAGCTCTGGCTCTGAACCAGCACCCGGTTCTTGTTGGTGGAAAAGGGGTAACAGTGATGCTCGACCACAGAAGAGGATCCGGGAGATCCACACTGGAACACGGCCCGACTGATCCGGCCCAGCACTGATCTGACCGGATGTGTTGTGTTGTGTGTGACGCGTGTGTGTGGCTGCTCAGGAGCCGAAGCTGCGGGAGCTGCTGGACGTGGGGACTCTGGAGGGGAAGATGGAGGACCGGACGCTCACTGTGGTCAGCGGTCAGGACATGGTCACCATCTCCTACTACAACTTCGTGGCCTTTCATGAGGAGGTTGCCAAGGTAACGCTGCGCCTTACACCACACCATAACCAGGATACGTGTGTGATTACAGGCGTGTGTGTGTGTGCGTGTCTGTGTGTGTGTGTGTGTGTGTGTGTGCGTGCGTGCGTGCGTGCGTGTGTGCGTGTGTGTGTGTGTGTGCGTACGTGTGTGTGTGTGTGTGTGTGTGTGTGTGTGTGGTAACGCTGCTCCAATACTACACTATAACCAGGATACGTGTGTGATTACAGGCGTGTGTGTGTCTGTGTGTGTCTGTGTGTGTGTGTGTGTGTGTGTGTGTGTGTGTGTGCGTGTGTGTGTGCGTGTCTGTGTGTGTGTGTGTGTGTGCGTGTCTGTGTGTGTGTGTGTGTGTGTGTGCGTGTCTGTGTGTGTGTGTGTGCGTACGTGTTTGTGTGTGTGTGTGTGTGTGTGGTAACGCTGCTCCAACACTACACTATAACCAGGATACGTGTGTGATTACAGGCGTGTGTGTGTCTGTGTGTGTCTGTGTGTGTGTGTGTGTGCGCGTGTGTGTGTGTGCGTGTCTGTGTGTGTGTGTGCGCACAAAACTTGCATCACAATGTGTAATTGTGATTGTCAAAACATTAATTTTATTTTTTAGTGACAACATGTTATAATGTTTACATGGTTACTGAGGCTACTGTTTGTATTATTGCTTAACACAATTTTCATGATTTCAATTAAATTCTTGGATTTAATTTCAATCTTGATTCAATATTGACTCATTTGGATAAATATTAGGTAGGCTACAGTAGATAGCCTGCATTTAAATGTTTCTCAAGAAAAAATATATCTCACATAATGCTGTAAACATACAGAGAGAAATTAAATATAATCCATACAATATAAATATAATAATAATATAAATATAAAAATGTAATATGCCGTAATTTTCATTATAATAACAATTATATAATGACAAGTACATATATTAAAATATGTAATATAGTGCACATATTTAGCAAAATACTCCTCTCTATAGCTATTTTCTTATAGTCAACTAACATTAAATGGCTTTCCTGAGGTAAATGTAACGTTCTGTGACATAATTGTTCTCCTGCAGTGTTATTGACCTCTTTCCGTGGTTGAAAAACACTGATTGATCGAAAGTACGTACCTTTCGGTGGGTTGTACTGTATCTTTAATAAAAAGTAACAGATGATCGGTTTACTTGATCTGAGGCGCGCGATCTGTCACGTCACATTTACAAGCAGCAAAACAGTATTTATTGTCTGAATTCCGTTATAAAACCCGAGAGCTGATATTTTTTTCATATCAAAAGTAACCTGCTCTGTCTAGTCTGTCGGTGTCAGTGTCCTCTTTGCTCCGCGATTTTTCTCTGCGTGAGAAAATGGATGTGTGGCGCGAGACCGTGTGAAAGTGTCAATTGCGTGAGTCTCAAGCTGAATGCGTGAGAGTTGGCAGCCATGCGGGGGATAAATAGTCGGCAGCGTTCCTCCTTCCGCCGTGCTTCTTCTCCATGTGAGGATTGTTTACATTAGACTAGAGTGCGCACTGCATGCACACAGTGCTAAATACATGTGATGTGGGGATTGTTTACATCAAAGTGCACATGTGTTTTGCGCAGCATATAGGCCTACGCATTGTTTTTTAAGCGGTTGATGGAAAATAAGCTGATGCGCGTTCTAAAAATCTAAATTCGGATCTATTATTTTTCACGGTATTTCGAAGTCCCCGCGATAACAATATCGTGCATATTCATTACCGCGATTTATCGCATTACCGAATACCGGCACATGTCTAGTGTGTGGTAACGCTGCTCCAACACTACACTATAACCAGGATACGTGTGTGATTACAGGCGTGTGTGTGTGTGTGTGTGTCTGTCTGTGTGTGTGTGTGTGTGTGCGTGCGTGTGTGTGTGTGTGCGTGTCTGTGTGTGTGTGTGTGTGTGTGTGTGTGTGTGTGCGTGTGTGTGTGTGTGTGCGTGTCTGTGTGTGTGTGTTTGTGTGCGTACGTGCGTGTGTGTGTGTGCGTGTCTGTGTGTGTGTGTGTGTGCGTGGTAACGCTGCTCCAACACTACACTATAACCAGGATACGTGTGTGATCAGCCGTCACTCGTCTCAAAGCATCTCTTCAAAACTGTCAAACGTTCAGTGTCTCTCTTTAAATCACCCATTCCATAACTCATTTAGGAAGATATGCTTTAGGAAGATATGCTTTAGGAAGATATGCTTTAGGATGATATGCTTTAGGAAGATATGCTTTAGGAAGATATGCTTTAGGAAGATATGCTTTAGGAAGAGTTACACATGTAAAGCACACAGCGATGCACAATCCAACACTATCCATCACACACTGTGATCTGCAAATGTGAGCGAGGCCGATAGTTTTATGATATTTATGATGATCTTGTCATATTAATGCTGGTCTGTTCCGAGTGGATTGAAGGCCGGTCTGCTGATGTGTGTGTGTGTGTGTGTGTGTGTGTGCAGGAGTGGGCCGAGCAGCTCTTCAGCCTGGCCTCAAACCTGCTGGCGCAGA